TGCTGAGTAGTATATATGTAGTGTGCACATATGTATGTATGTTAACATGGTTTATATTATATATATATATATATATATATATATATATATATATATATATATATATACTGTGTGTGTGTGTGCATATGTGCATATATGCAAACTTACCTTAGATATATATATATATATATATATATATATATATATATATATATATACAGCAAAGCAAAAGTATAAGGTGGAAAAAGGAAAGTTCTTACATATAATCTGATGTGAAGAAGCCATTTTTAGGACACCTGATTCACACAGGCTGGATTCATCTATGTCCCAAAGGGAAATGACACCATGTGTTTGCTTGCAGGCTGCTGGGGAGGAAGATTTAGCCTCAGCTTTTGGCCCAGGCTAAAAAAATGAAACCTTACTGTCTGTCTGGTTGCTGTCCATGAACAGAAAAATGACTGCCGTTTTAGTCACTGTATGGAATGACATCATGAAGCAGCTGTCATGTGACCCATGTAACTTATCTCCACCAAATGGAGATAACCACCTTCTGTATCCTTACACACGCATTTTTGCCTCTTTCAGATATACTAGGGAAATGTATGAATTCATTTACTTTTCCCTCAGTTATGGGTTAAATAGCATGGTAGACTGTAGTCTCTAGCCATGGTTGGCAACCAGTCTAAGAGAAGGAGAATTCTTAATACAAAACTTTAAAGAGCCCTAATGAACTATATACTATACAACCATCGAAGAGATTATGTCGTTCACAACTTAAATATGGTAACATCCACATAACTAAGTCAGATCAAAGACTCCAATGAAGTAGACTTTAAGGACAGTTCTTTATTCTAAAAAATGCATATAAATGTTAGAAATTATAGAGGAAAGTGGTGATCTCGTGGTAGATCTTCTTGTTGCTATATAACAAGTTCTTTCTGGAGATATGTTGTCTACATACAAATATGGAATGATTACTCTTGTACATATTACTGTGAATTAGTTGTTCCATTCACCACTCTTGCAAATTCAAGAAAAAATTTGCGCGAGCCAGTGTGAAATTATTTTTTAATTAATGAAATCCTTGTATTAAAAAAGTTCACACATCTATGTGAAATTAAATTTTGGATCTCCATTACGCATATAAACATAGAAGCATACTGATTCTCGAGGTTCAAAACAATTTGGGAGGTCAGTTTGATTTACACGCGCGTACACACAGACGCACACAATGAAAAGATGACAGCCAGCAGCCGCCAACTAGGGCTTTATCTACGAAGTCACAAACACATTAGGCTGACCGTCATAAAGTACGTCTGTCGATACATTTCACATAATACTAGAAGCACTTAATTACTTTATAAAATTGTTACATTCCATGCTAATAGGAATATATATTTGAAAAAGAAAGGTGGATAAAATAAGTAAAGGTTTATTGCAAAAAAAAAACAGTACAATAAGAATAAAGGTAACAGTTATGCACAAGGTTGTTGCAAGTCAAACCAGTAGTGAGTGCTACTATCGGAAGGTCGGTCGTTCTTGCGTAAGTCTTACTCAACAGATCTCAGCTAGTAATATTTACCAACCTTTCCACGGAGTAAGATGTGGCACAAGGCCGAATTTCATGTGGGGCAATTTGATCCCGTAGGCTCTGCCAATAATTCCCGTAAATACCGCATGAACCGGTTCGGGTCTGTCTACCTCTCGGGACGAGACTCTGCCCTTCGACATAGCCTCATCCGGGTTCCTCTCTGCCCGAAGGCAGTGAGTTCGACAACTACTAAGAGCTGAGTAACAGATCGCAGCTAATATATTTAGCTATCCCCACCAACGAGGGTTGCATGTGGCACAAGGCCGGTTTAGCGTGGGTTCTTCGAGCCCATAGCCTCGACCAAAAATATTCCCTTTTGAACCCGTATAAACGTGTTCAATGTCAGTCTATCTCCCCAAATGAGACTCTTCCCTTCGGTGGAGCCTCGTCCGGGTTTCTCTCTGCCTGAAGACAGTGAGTTCGACCGTCTAGCTGGAACAGGTCGCAGCTAGTATATTTAGCAACTCGCCTCCACGAGGGTTGCATGCGGCACAAGGCCGGTTTAACGTGAGTTTTCCGAGCCCATATCCGTATAAATGGGTTCAGGGGCAGTCTACCTCCCCGAACGAGACTCTGCCCTTCGGCGGAGCCTCGTCCGGGTTCCTCTCCGCCCGAAGGCAGAGAGTTCGACTGTTTAGCTGGAACAGGTCACAGCTAGTCTCTGTAGTCCGTTGACTTACAGATACTTATAGGTAGTAACTACCTATAGTGTAGTCACTTATGGGGGTGATAGGTTATTCCATTACATCAAAAACAAACTTCGCTGCAAAGAAAATTGAACATTTTATTGCTATGGCATATTTTGAAAAGAATATATAAATGTTATATCAACTGTCGTTCTGCTTCTACTTTTCAGAGGATAACCTTATTATGATTCATTTAAAAGATGTTTTTTTGTTGTTAAATGTTTGGAATCCCGACACTCAGATTGCAAATAAAACCTAGGTAGATGGATCCCAACTCTATGAATCTTGTATAAGGCCAATAGGAGAAATAATTTTAAAAAATTCACTTCACAAATCTTTCCAAACAGATTCCGAACATTTTCATTGTTTCATTTTTACAGTTTTTTTTATAATTGCATACAATGATAAACGAAATTTTTAATGCTATTTTACATTTAACAATTTTTATCTTCATTGTTTGAAGAACTGACTGAATTAAGTGCAGTGCTAGCCTGGCGACGAGGTCCCAGCAATTTACAGTTGGATTGGCTAGAAGTAACCGTAAATTCTATGCTAACAGTTTCTTTTCTCACACTTCTCACTTGTGGAACTTCCTTCCAGCTTCATGTTCTTCAGCCAACTTTAGTCATCAGAAAAATGAAATGCAATGTCAATCGCTATCAACTGTCCTTCTGATTCCTCTTTTTGTTTTCGCTCCTAAGCAATGTTTCCGTTTCTAACTCTTCCACACCCAGTAACACCCTGCATGGGCTGAAATTGGTTTATATATATATATATATATATATATATATATATATATATATATATATATAGTAAAATTGTGTTTCTTTATTTGTCTAGTAAAAGCGTGTTTCTGTGTGGCTATAATATAGATTTTGTTTTGGAGTATAATAAAGATGTGTTTACGCACAGATACAGTTGTGTTTCTGTGTATGGAAAAGAGTGTTTCTGTGTGTGTACCGTGTACGTTTGTCTATGCTAGTATATAATAAATATGTGTTAATATGTATATAGTGTAGATCTGGAAAATTTAAAAATAACGATCACTCAATAATACTCTTAGAGTAGATCTCAGTGCTAAACAACAGGCAGCCAAGAGAGACAAGAGAACAGATCATGATGTCGAAAATACTTATGACATATATAAAAATATTTGTTGATATTTCTCCTGCAGGGTCAAGAGATTTATTCAGATTTTGGCACAAGATTTAAGGTTAAATATATAGCCTAGGTTGTCTAGACTTGGGTGACAACAAGATTATGAAAATCAAAAAGAGGGTTGGTCCGAGTAGCGATCCCTGGGGGACGTTTCTTTTGACCTCTAGGGTTCCAGAGGACTGGCCATGGACCTAATACTGTTAGGAAAGATTTGATGATCAAGAAGACCCTTCCGGTGATTACTGGAGAGCTTGTGTAGTAAGCCTTTGTGCCACACCTTGTCGAAGGCCTTTGAGATATCTAGTACTATGGTCCTTGAGGTGTGTTTGTTATCAAGAGCCTCACTGATTCAGCAGTGGATCGGATCGACCGAAACCCATACTGCTCATCGCTGAAGAGGTTGTTCTTTTTTGGGTGCTCGACGACTCTTTTATTAATTATGGCCTCTAAAAGCTTACTGATGATACTAAAGAGACTGATGGGTCTGTACTGGGAATGGGACAATCGCCCGCGTTCTTGAAAATCGGGCATGCTTTTGACACTTTCCACGGGTTTGGGAAGGTCTTCTCCTTCAAGGAGCGGTTAAATAACTTTGCTAGTATTGCGGGTAATTCTGGGATGATGTTCTTAAGGACAACTACTGGAATTTTGTCGGGACCGGTGGGTTTCTTAGGCTCGAAGACTTTTATAAGTCTAGAGACTTCTCGTGCTGTGATGGTAATATTACTGAGATTGTGCTCGGTGAGACGTGGGAAATCGGGGAGGGGATAGTCTTTGTTATCTAAGGTTGAATTAAAAGAAAAGATGGAGGTGAAGAGGTTTCTCTTATTTGTAGAGAGTGTCGTGATTACAGTGTGAATTTTGTTCATTATAAACTGTAACTGAATCATTGTAAAAATAAATATTTTGACCTGATATGAAAATATATTCCCATCTATCTCTTATTTTCTGATGTTAACCAATCCTTCACGCTTGATATAATATAATCTATCTGCTTCCCTGCTTACTGTCTCTCTTTTCTTTTTTCTTTTTTGGCTTCATGACCAGTCGTGTCAAATCAACTGTTGTATTTCTATCGTCACTAGCTGGATTTTTCTTGTTGAGAAAAATAAAGTAAAAAAGGCAGGTAAAACTGTGGGTTTATTTTGTCAAAATTTATATTTTAAAATGACTGAGGAGCGAGTGTGTTGAATAAGTTAATAGTTAGAATACTTAGCAAAAAAAAAAAAAAAAAAAAAAAAGAAAAAATAAAGAAACTGACAGGAAATTTTTTAAAAATTAAGTCATCCCAACATTCAAAATTGAATTCAGTTTTCCCCGCGGTCTAACGCAAATCATTACGTTATGGATTTACATTGCTAATTATTCTTTCTTTCTTTTTTTTTAATTATTTAATTTTTTTACTTTTTTTTCTATTATCATCGGACAATCTTCTTCTTTTTAACAACGTGCCTGAAAGATAACCTCTCTTTCCATTCCCTTTTTTCTTTTGATTCCTCTTGGCACCGTGATCGACAAATAACGGAAAAAATTGCAAAAAGCGAAAAAGAAAAAAGAATGGATTGATCAACTGGATTAATTAGGAATTAAATGCTGAAAGTGAGAAAAAAAAAAGAGAGAGAGAGAGAGAGAGAGAGAGAGAGAGAGAGAAATAAAGTATAGAAAAGGAAAAAAAGAGAGCAAAAAGAAAAGTGAAAAGAAATGCGAAATTGCAAAAGCTTGTCACTAAAGAGAAAGTGAAAGCCGGAGAGTAAAAATGGCCGGCGCGGAGAGAAGGGATGAAAAAGGTCAGTTGTTATGCACCGCACGAGGAGAAAAAGGTGGGAAATGGACAAATTATTTGATTTAAAGACGGAATAGATAGATAGATAGATAGATAGATAGATAGATAGATAGATAGATAGATAGATAGATAAGAACAGAATTAGATACAAACAGACAAATGTGCAAAAAATAAATAGATAATGAACAGACTGAAATAGATAGATAGATTAGATAGATAAGAACAAATGTACAGATAGATAGATGTGAATAGAATCTATAGATAGATAGGAACAGAATTAGATAGATAGATAGATAGATGAACAGAATTAGATATGAATAAATAGATAGATGAACTGGATTAGATATGAACAGAGAGAGGAACAGAATTAGATAGATAGATAGATAGATAGATAGATAGATAGATAGATAGATAGATAGATAGATAGGAACAAATGTACAGATAGATGTGAACAGAATAGATAGATAGATAGATAGATAGGAACAGAATTAGATAGGAATAGATAGATAGATAGATGAACAGAATTAGATATGAATAAATAGATAGATGAACAGGATTAGATATGAACAGAGAGAGGAAGAGATATGAACAGATAGATAGATAGATAGATAGATAGATAGATAGATAGATAGATAGATAGATAGATAGAACAGAATTATGTGAACATAATGTGAACAGGTAGATTAACTAATGATCAAATTTATATGTGAATAGATAGATATAAACGGACCAAAAGACATATGTAAATTGGGGAACGTAAAGTTTATTTCCCAGATATTGACACATTTGTGAACAATAAGTGGAGGCTGATGATGAAGAAACGAGAGAAATAAACTCTTATGTTGTCTAACTCGACCGAAAAGTAAGAAACGGCAAAAATTCATTGATAAAATAAATACCCAATTATTTAAAAAGATATTATGAATAAATGCGAGCGTGTGATGTACCGAAGCGTGAGATGAGAAAAAGAGCAAGCGAGAAACGACTTCTACTATAAACAGACCCAAAACCACGAAATGGTGTTTGTTGGATGCATGGATGGATGGATTGAAAGAAAGAATAAGCCGTAAAAAGGGAAGAGTTATGACGTATGCAGATGTTGAAGAACGAAAAGAAAGAATTGCAAGCGTGGTTGGTTGGTTTGTACCACATATTGTGCGGCATCTTATCTTTCTTTATATACTTGATATGCCATAGAAAAATGAAAAAGGTGACGACGACGAAGAAGAAGAAGAAGGAGAGAAGAAGAAAATAAGAAAGACAGGCAAAAGCGAAAAAACAACAAAAAATACCAATGAACAATACAGAGCACTTGTCTTTTTACTCTTTAGTCTTTTTACTTAGCATCTGGTTCTTCGAGTAGCTGTTTTTCTTACTTTTCAGATTGCAAATTATTTTATTTTCTCTTTCTTTATCCATCTCATCATCATCATCATCATGATCTTTTACTTTTTCTTTTTTTTTTTTAATTTGTTACTTTCTTGTTATTTGACAAAACTGCAGGTGAACTTAAGGGGTTGTCTAAAAAACTTACTTTTCGAGAAAAATGGTTCATAATTTAATTTAAAGAAGAAATCAATTAAGTAATAATTACGTGTTTGTTTCTAAACAAATTTAAGAAGAGATTGTTTTATGTTATTTTTTCTAGAATATTTTTTAAAGAAAGTGCATTTTTTTAGGTCATCATCCATCATCCGATCAATCCATTCCAAAATATACATTTCATTTTACAACACCGTTTTCGTACCATCACGAACGACTTGACCAACTCTTCTTTCTTGGCCTTGTCAATACAAACAGGTTGGGTCACGTTCGAGTCTCATAGTGTCGAACGAAACCCATGAATAATAACAATCCATCGTCATTGATTATTTTCGTCTTGTTTGCTTTCTTTTATATTTCGCTATGTATCATCTTTGTCATAATAATCGTAAGTGGTTTTTAAATGATTCTTCTTTTCACAGGAACATCCGTTCGCTTTCTCTTTCTTTTCGATCACTACCAACAGAGAGATTTCACTCTACGACACTTAGTTTTCACACACACGTTTTTCTTGTTTTGTTTCAGTGTTATAAGTTTTCTTTCGTTTACACTTTGATTTACATTTTTTTCTTAAAGAAGAATCCGGTAAAATGAATGAAGTCTGATGTTTGCTGGGGATCTATCTCTAACTCAAGTCATAAAAAGTGCTTCAGGCCAATTATCACAAACTGACCTCAAAAGAAAGAAACTAAATTCTGATTTACAATCGATTACAAACAAAAATAAAACATTTAAAAAAACTGTTCTATTCGATATTTTTTATTTTAAATTTAAAAATCATCGAAATTTTGTGCAATTTTCCTCAACTTTTCTTTGTTCTGATGAAGTAATGACAATATTTTAAGCTTGTGTTGTATTTTTAAAGGGCATGAAAAAATGAACGAATAGTCAATCTCAGACGAGAAGTGCACAGTCTCATCATTTTACAGTTGAAATAGTTAGATGTAACCGCAAGTTCTATGCCAACAATTTATTCTCGCGCACTTCTCGCTTGTGGAACTCTCTTCCGGATTTCTTGTTTTCCAGACAATTTTGATCTTCATGCAATGTCAGTCGTTATCTTCTGTCTTCTTAATTATCGAATTGTCCTCTCTCGTTAATAATGTTTTCTTTTTCTCGTTTTCTTTCTTTATTTTTTCTCATGTGCTCTCACACTCATTAATACCTTGCGTCTTAGTGGCTTTATTGCCATACTTGATGTGATTAAAAAAAATGTCCCAAACAACATCGTTGTGTAGTAATAAGTAAATTCTTGAGTGTAAGTTTTTAAAAAAAACAAAACAAATATGGTTTTAGTAGAAGTTTGAAACTAAAAACATTAGTGAGAGACGTGGGTGCTGAAATGTACTCGACTAGATCCATTTCCCCAAAACCAGCATAATGAAATACTGGTTTTGGGAAGAAATGTTTAGTCAAGTCCGAACAAAAGTATACGAATGCACAGGATTTTTTGTGTTTTTTTTTTCTAGGAAATGAGTTGAGAACATTTTAGCACCTCCTCGGAGTAACTGAAATTTATTTTCAACTTCAGACACAAACTTTTTTTTTTGTGTAGTCATTGTTACACTAGTGGAACATATTTTAAGAATTTTTTATATCAGACAAGCATGGATTTTATTTTTTATCGATACACAGAATGTACTTCACTACTTAGTACTAATGTGTGCTTACACATTGTATTATTAAAATTAAATGATATATCAATTTATCCTGATTTTACTCAAATTTTGCACCCATGTCCCGTCACTGAAAGAAAATATAATTAACGAGAAAGAGAGATACCATTGTTAAAAAAAAAGGTTTGTTCTGTTTTTTCTTTCTTTTTTTTGTTTTTCACTCTTTCCTTTTCTTTCACCCGGCACCTTTTTCTCGTTCGTCTTATTTATTTATTTATTTATGTTGTTGTTATATTGTTTCTTATTCGTTTTTTTGGTAGCTCATTAGAGTCACCGCCATCACCTTATACCACTTGCGGGTATAATCAGAGATAGAAAGAATGAAAGGTGCGCTAAAACAACAGTCGATAGAAACGGATGCAGCGGGTAGATGGAGACTGAAAAAGGTGGGGTGCTTTTGCTCTCCTACCCACCAATTCCTCGCCTCCAAATGCGTGAGTGAAGGACAAGGAGTAACAAACACTTGTTCAGTTTGATGGTAGCTCGAGAGACAGTTTTCTTCTGTGTTGTGTACAAGAAGTGAACATATCGTCGTACAGAGTGTCTGTTCGTTTTTTGTTGTTGTTTTTTTTAAAAAAGAAGAAGAAAAGTGGAATGCGTAGGTAAAGATAAGTGTTGTCGAAAGTAAAAGTGTTTATAGCTAAGTGTTAAGAAATCTAGGTAAGCAAATACACGAGTGATTTTTTTTTTACCGAGGTCCGATTACGTTCGAAATAGATGTGATTGAAGTGCTTTCTTGTTAAGGGTTTTTATCTTAAATTATACGCCGTCGTATCGTAACGAAAACATTATGTGAACGTGTGTTCACTGTCTCTTCTTGCCTGTCTTTTCCCTAGCCCGTAAAATTTTCAACCTATGCGTTGTGGTATCTCTTCAGGTTTAGGAGCAGATTAGAGGTGCGGTGGGGGTGAGGAGTTCCATTTATTCATTTATTTTTTAGTTGTTTTTAAAACACTCTTTTTATTTTTTACTAACGCTCACCCAATACAAGGCTCATGAGCCACTCGAGATAGAAGGTTACTGAATAAAAATGTCGTATGCACGGTAAGAGTAAGAGGTATGAAGTACAGTTTATGACGATATGTAAGAAAGATAACAGTTCAATCCTAAACTTGAAGAGGTTGCGATAGTAGTGATCGGGAAAGCATCCTCTCGTGAGTCTGTCGGAGTTAGCTCCTCCTTTAGTTCCTTAATCTTTCACCAGGGGTCTCTCTACTCTGGCTATAAATACTGGCTGACCCTTCGCCTCGATCTCTTTTTTCCTCAGGCGTTCAGCCTTATGCTACCTCTCAGATGTGAGCTCTCACAGATACAGCGTTTCCCAAATGCTGGGAACACGCTAAGAACAATACACGTACGTGCGAAGACTCACCACAACACACACACATAATAAACACCACACACATTCTGTCCATGTAACTTGTAACCTTTAACTTGTTATTAATACATATATTTGTTTACATATAATTTATCGGTCTTGTTTGTTTTGTTTGTTTTTCTTTGGACTTTCTCATGTAGTTGGACCGGCTAGCAGGAAAATTCTCACCCACGTGTATTCTTCTACAATACATACTCATCACCCCCACGGTCCGCTACAAGTCTGTTCCACAAAGTAACTGTGCTTGGGAAGTGGAACTTTTTTCTGGTTTTGTTTTTTACAGTGATGTTCACTCTGTACAAGGCCCAGGCGCCACTCGAGGTAGAGGGTTAGAGAGTAAGGGGAACAGTTTATGCGCATAGGTGGGGATGATAACGGTTAACCATAGACTTGAACAGGTTAAGATTGTAGTGATCAGGGAAGCATACTCGAGGGAGTCGGTTTCACAGGGCAATGGTTCGCGGGAAGAAGCTGCTCGAGTGGAACTTACTTCTCAACAATGGTATACGGAGGGAATGAGGGTAGTTTGCTGCAATGGGTGTGGCATGGAGGGTCAGAAGAGGTGGAACCAAGGAATAAAGTTCGTCCGAGCACTTTCCATGGAAATAGCGACAGAATAGAGTCAGTCTTGCCAAACATCCCGTCTGTAAGATATTGCAAGGTGGAAAATTGTCATCCAAAAGGACTCGGAGACGCTTTTGGATTCTATTGAAACTGTAAAGTGATAACTTGGCAGCTACGGCCCAGTATGACGGTTCCGTATAGGATACAGGTTCGATTCCTGTCGGAGGATGCATATTTTCTATGAAAATTTCTCGGACATTCAGGCCGGTAAATGTTTGTTTAATACTGTTTATTATAAACAGAGCATTTACTTAAATATTTGTATTTATAAAAAGAACGTATAAACATGTATTTATATATATATATAAAAGGCAATATATATATATATATATATATATATATATATATATGTAAGGCTAGATGCTAGAATAAAACAACACGTTCCAGCGAAAATCCGAAACCGGAAGTACACTCCCTCGGACATTCTGACCAATACGTATGGGTCTTGCATCGCAGAACGCCTTATAAATAGCCATAATTGTGCTGTTAGTTTTAGTGCGGACGCTTTTACCATCCTTCGCAAGTCGCACTCAAATTACCACCTAAAAGTTTTGGAGGCCATCTATATTCTATCCTTAAACCTTTCTCTTTGTAAACAGAAGGACTTTATATTAGGCCTCCAACTAATTACCATTTAATTTTTTTTCCCACCAATAAACTTTGTCCATTGTTCTTTTTTTTATTATATAATTTACTCGATTATCTCTGTTGAGCGAAGTACGAAACCGGTTAGCTAGCCTGTTATTTATTTTTTATTTTTATTATCATGAGTGGTAATAATAAAATTAATTTTTGTCTATTCATGACAGTGATATATATATATATATATATATATATATATATATATATATATATATGTGTGTGTGTGTGTGTGTGTGTGTGTTGGAATGTGTCACGAAAAATAAATGATCTCGTCTCTTTCTCTCCCACTGTCGTAGCGACGGGCACAGTCTCCACTTCTGAGACTGAAACTACCCTCCTTCTCATTCCAGCCCTTTACATAGAGCTTGGTAACTCACCTATGCAAAACACCAACAAGCCAGCTACTAATCACAGTTCCCACGCCTCCCCACCTTTACTCGCTTTGGGGGTGTCAAGTTGACCGATCAACTCATTACACGCCCCCCCCGATTTTAAGATCACAAAGCTTCTCAGTTCGAGAGATGGTCGCGTCTGTCTGGTGATTGCGTCCGCATATATACAACTTGCACGCTTGACATATTGGGATAACCACACATGCGCGAACTCGCTTGCTCCGAGGTGGCAGACTTCCAGATTCATCTCGTGTCTCGTTGTCATGATCGCAACTCGGGGCAGGCCTCTTCTGTCGGGCACTCCTTCTGAGCGGGATGACAGGGTCCTCATTCTCGGATGAACTCTCGTCCGTTGAGCTACCATCCGCCTCTGGACAGCTGGCCACGTTGACGTCCGCGGGTAGAGTACTGATGTTTGAGGTAAAACTCAGTGGATCCGACTTAAATATACCACTCGCGCACCATCTTCAGAGTCACTTTCATCATTTGATGACGGTTTTAACCCTACAACTGGCCGCAAATCTTTAACATGACAAGGCACGCCATCGACCCGCACTGACTGCGGGCTGATAATCTCGGTAACATGCCCCATTCTAAGCTTGTCCGTACACTTGATGTGCGGGGTCTTAACCCACACTACGTCACCAATTCTGTATTTTGCTTGCGCGTCGTAATGTCAATGCCTCTCAGCCGTAAGTGATAGGAGTGAACCATGTTAGCCGGTGCTGTTGTAGGCGAAACACCGTCTTTAGGCGTTGCATTATACCAATAGACTGCTTCGGGGATCGAACATCGCTTCCTGGCTACAATCACTTTTATAGACCGGTGGCTCCTTTCTACTATGCCGTTTCCCTCCGAAACATAGGCACACCGGAACCGAAGCTGCACACCCCACTTCCTTAAGAACTGCGGAATTTCTCTGAAGAAAACGCCGCACCATTATCTGTCAATATTTCTGCAGGTGGTCCCCGGTCGTAAAAAATTGACGTATTATGCTGGCAGTGTCCTGCCGGTGCAGTAGTCGCCAAATGGCGAAGCGAGAGGGTCCACAGTCAATAATAGTCAAATAGTGCTGGCTGACAACATGCGTAACATCTATCCCCAGCCCGTTCCAAACATGGGTAGTACTCAAGTTTCCTTTTTGCCATTGCACCGGTGCCGGGTCAATTGATTGGCACGCCTCGCACCTCTGCACTACTGTCCTAACATCCGCCTTTTTGACTGGTGGGTCGAATATCTTCGAGAAGTAGAGCGTCCGTTTAATCCCGGGATGCCCACACTGTTCATGTATGCTCATGATCCGCTCGAGGTCCATAGTGAGCGCAGAAGCCGTACACGGCAGCTGCAGAGGTTCAGACTCTTTCTGAGCAGCAGTCAACCAACGTTGCGGAACGCGAGTCAATGCATCTGCTCTGTTGACTGCCGATTTAACTAACACTACATGTCTGTGGATAGTTTCAATCAGCGTGGCGAGACGCCTTCGTATCAACATCTCGCTCGACACCTTGGTGGTCAGTCGCGCTCTTCCGCAAAGTGCATCTGATATCCAACGCTGGGTGCATGCTGAGTCCGTGACGATGTGTAGCACTGTTGCTTGCCATTGGAGCGACAGGTTAACCCCTTTCAGAGTGACGTCTAGTTCAGCCAGGTTTATGTGTTGTGCATCATTTTCAGGTCGTAACTAGCAGGCGTCTTCTATGATGTACCCGTTATCATCAAGGGCGACACCCATGGCCAACGAGCTGGCATCCACCCAAACGGTGAGCTCGTTCCCTTAACACACCAGTCACCTCGCACGGGATCGTCTTTCATCACTCTCTCCATAGTTTCAGTTATCATGTATCTTAGGGTAACGTCGTGCACCTTGTCGTCCCATCCTGACGAAACAGATGTTACGCGGCGCTTTATGGCTGCTGCCGCCACTCTGAGCCAACCGCATACGGGAAAATGGCCTACCAGTTTCCCACACATGGAGAAGGTACTCCGACGAGTGATCACCCCCTGGGTTTCCGGGACGTCACTGCCTCGCCTCCAGAGAAGTTTTTCTCCATCAGTACTGACGTGTAGTCCAAGTACATTCGCACCATCCTGTAGCGGCTGTGGGGCCTTGCACACCAAGCCAAAGCGCTCCAGATGTTCCTTAACCCTCGTTGAAGAGGCCGCTTTTTCATTGACGTAAACATCGTCAATGTAGGATGACGTTGCCCTTCGAATTTCCTCATCCTGCGACATGACCATATTCTTAATCGTTGACATGATTTTTGGAGCCACATTAAGACCAAATCCCAATCGAGTGAGGCAATATCACCGTCCTTTTACCATGACAGTCTGAAAGGGCCAGAGTGATCAGTGGACTCAGACTTGGAGGTAGGCCCTTCTTAAATCGAGGGTGGCCACATTGCTCCCTTGCTGTCGCCATTCCCGCAATTTCTGGGCACAAACGTCCGCGTTGGCCGTATATGCATCTACAAAGTTATTCAATTCCCTGTAGTCCATGACCGGTCTCACTTTCCCCTTATTCTCTTGCACTATTGCCATCAACGGAATCAGTCCTCGAGGCGGCCCTAGCTCCTCCTCGGGGTACGGCGCAAGCCAGCCGTTTGCTATTCAAAGCTGCAATTCCTTTTCTTTTTCGCTCCTGATATGCTCTGGAACCGGGTACTCTTCTATTTTATTTTTCAGTGGCGTGGGCGTTCGTCCATCCGCCCACTTCCACGTTGCGGTCCATACGCGCCTGCGCTGGTCGAAAGTTGCACTGAAGTCAGGTTCGTTAATCCTCAAAGCAGCACAGATGGGCGGATCAGAAAACTTGACTTCACCCGCCTCTGTGATGCGTACGCCGCCCAGCTCCTTAATAATGTCCATCCTAAGGAGCAGATCAAAACCTAACAACGCGCTGTCCACGAGCAACACACTGACTTTGACGGGGTTACCGTTGTTAATACTGAGTTTGATGTTTCCAACTCCCCGGCTTCTGAGAGCCTTTACATCGGTCGTTCGTACGTTAATCTTTTGTCTGCTCCACTGTCGACAAATCGAACCGTTCATGAGTGACCGAGAGCAGCCTGAGTCTACTAAAGCGGTACGCGTTATTCCATTGATGAGCACCTTAATCACAGGGAGCGCCTCTTTCATGCTTGGTGCGGGGAAGAGACCGGCTGACGTCGGGTCCCCCATTCCATTTCCCGGACACTTAAAGGCAATGTGACCTACTTTATGATATTGGAAGCATCGTAAATCGAGACGTGCCTTTCGTGCCAACCCGCTGCACATTTCTTCGCGTTGATAGCAGCAATCTTTGGCAAAATGATTCGGCCCAGAGCACCGATAGCAGGTGACATCGCCATGGCGACGGATGGCTGGGGTCGGACCTTCTTTGACTTCAGTTGGTTGAACAACTGCGGCCACTGGTTCATCAGCCTCTTTTTCGTCGATCATGATAGCACGAGCTCTGGTCAACAATTGATTGAGCGTCATGTCTTCCATTCTGGATGATGCGCGGAGTATTTGCTGAACATGACTATGTAATCCAGATACGAAGGCACATGTCATCCATTCTTCAGGAAGCGGTGCGATCGGTACGGCGAGCTTCTTTAATTCCGCCACATATACATCTACTGTCTCGCCAGGTCGCAGACGACGCGCCTGGAATTGGTCATAGGCCACGAACCGGTCAGTTCCAAACGCGTTTAGTAGAGCGCGCTTTATTTGCTCAATGTCACTTTTCTGTTCTTTGTTCAGCTGCCTATACACAGCAAAGGCACCGCCTTTCAATCGCAGTGGAATAATCAGTTCAATCTTCGTATAATTAGCAGACCAGTTCCACATTTTCGATCCATTCAACCACAGACTGTCCACTCGTATCACCACTGAATTCGGAGATCAGTTTTATGTCGAACGGTCTTTCCGCCATCTTGCTAGAGACAAAATAAATGCCGAAATAGCTTATGTTGGAATGTGTCACGAAAAAATAAATGATCTCGTCTCTTTCTCTCCTACTGTCGTAGCGACGGGCACAGTCTCCACTTCTTAGACTGAAAAACTACCCTCCTTCTCATTCCAGCCCTTTGCATAGAGCTTGATAACTCACCTTTGCAAAACACCAACAAGCCAGCTACCAATCACAGTTCCCGCGCCTGCCCACCTCCACTCGCTTTGGGGGTTTCAAGTTGACCGACCACCTGATTACATATATATATATATATATATATATATATATATATATATATATATATATATATCCAGTTGAGGTCTGGGATGAACTTAAGTCCCAATAAGCGGAGACAGCGAATGTCAGCTCTTCCGTGAACAGCCCTTGTAATCCCTCTTCTCTCTGGGTCATTTAGTACGCGATCTTGTCTCGATACCTGACATCCTGCTAAGACATGACGATTCTGACTCAACGTTAACTCGGACAAAATATGGCTTGTCAATCTAAACGCCTCCAAAACTAAACTTCTCTCCATTAATCATCTAAGAGACCCTTTATGCCTTCGATCTGCACGGCTGGTGCTAACATCCAGGAAAGTGACCTGTTGTACTTTCTCGGGCTAACGTTTTCAGCTGACATGCAGTGTAAAAACGATATTGAATCAACTACTAGCTCTGTTGCTAAGAAAGTTGGTTCACTGTGTCGTGCGTGACTGTTTTTCTCTCCAGAATCTATCTTACACATCTATAAGTCAACCATTCGTCCATACTTAGAATATATTACTGCCACATATGGTCCGGTACCCTAGTTATTTACCTTGAGCGCCTTGATAAAATCCAAAGAAGAATCAGCAATATGGTTCTGATCTGGTGGATCGACTTCAGACACTTTCCCACTACGGAAAGGTTGCCTCTCTGTGTCTTTTCTATCAATACTGTCATGGTAATTGTTCGGATGACATTTTCGCTATGGTACCTAGACTTTTTAAATTTAAGAGCAGTACTAGACTGGTGTCGAAATCTCATCAATTTACTGCTGAGCTGGATAGATGTAACCGTAAGTTCCAGGCTAACAGTTTATTTTTCGCTCTGAGAACTCGTTCCCGACTCCATAATTTCCAGCCAAATTTAATCCGCAAAAATTTAAATGCAATGTCACTCGCTATGTACTGTTTTCCTGATTACTCTTTTCCTCTTCCGCTCATTATTAAAGTTTCCGTTCCTAATTCTTTCACACCCATAACCCCTTGTGTGTTAGCGGCTTTACTGCTTTACATGGGGTGATACCGATTTAAAAAAAAAAAGTTCTTAAGAGTCGCTGCTTTGTGGAATAGA